AGCTTCTCTGTACTTCACGGTGTGTGGGTAATTGATATTGAAGAAGAGTGCATATTGCATATGGAGACGTGGATGTGAGTTTAGACTAGCTTCACAATTTATGACCAAGAAATCCCTGTACACTATATAGCAATTACTACACCAAAAGTTGAACATCCAGTATAACAAGGATGGTGTTCATTGCACAAATAAGAAATTATTTGTTTATTTGTAATTAAGCACAAAGCTACACAATGGGCTATCTGTGCTCTGCCCACCACGGGTATCGAAACCCGGATTCTAGCGTTGTAAGTCCGCAGACATATCGCTGTATCACTGGGGGGACAATAAGAAATTAAATATCAAACCAGAAGTTATTAGCAATAATTCTTTATCTAGTAACTGGAGTGTATTAGAATAGAATACTCCATCATGTCCTGGAGAATTGGTGGTTGTAATAGTTCTGGTGGATGTGAAGAATAAAAATGTTGTACATGACTACCCAAAGAAGGCTTTATCAGGTTGTGATAAAACAAAATGTAGTTATTATCAGGGTCCGAAATTCGCAAAATTTCTAACTAGTCTTTCACAAAAATTCTAACAGGTCTTCTAGGAATTCTAACTGTTCCTCATCAGGTTTAAATTGGTCCACTCCAAGAAGAAGTATATATATATATATGTTAATTTCTATTGTCAATTGCAGATGTGAACCTCTTAAAGAAAGATATGGATCATTCAGAGGAATGGTGGGACATCTATGGAATTACAATGGTGAAATCCGGGATTCGATTCCCCACAGTGGACACAGCATAAAGTACAATGTGGTTTTGCTCTAAAACAAACAAACAACAAAGTAATTTCAAATATGTATAATCATATATGTGTAACATCATTAAACACATTTTTTTAATTGAAACAACAGTTTTTGTTTATATCATTCATGGAATGTACATAATCTTTATATTTACATGATTTGAGATTACTATTTTAATATTTACCAAAAGGTATGGTATTTCTTCATTGGGATATTAATATTCATCACATTTCACTTGGATTGATCATTCCATTGACATGTTTCAAAAACCTTCTTTTAATTTCAGACATCATAGGGATTTCCCATAATGTTTTAAAAAATTGTCCAGGAATCTTCAGAAGGCTAGAGTCTTCATTTGGGAGATTGGAGTAAGGAATGTTTCAATCCCACTATTCGTTGGTAAAAGAGTAGCCCAAGAGTTGGGAGTACATGTAACTCTAGGCAATAAGATAATGGAATTTTGGTCAAACGTAGGTAATCACCATTGAATACAAATGTAAATTCTGGTTTAAGCTTAAGATATAAAAGATTTAATTTACATTTGTGAAATTTATTTACGATGAACGTAACTAGTTATTATCTGCAAGATATTACTCAATTTTAAGTTGAAAATCCAAATGCAACAAAACTCACAAAGGCTTAGCATAACTGCTAACACTAGTATTAGTTTTAATTTTTTATTTTATTTACTATTACTAATACTAGCGATAGTATTAGAGCATCACTGTACACCATTAATTTCGTTTCGCCAAGAATCTACTTAGTAACTAAGTGAAATTTAACACTTGATAAAAAATGACCGATTATAAAAATTAAATCACACTCACGGTCACAGGTAATTCTAATACCGTTACACCAGTGGGCGTTGTCTTTCTTACCTGATATTTGTCTCTGTGCATGATTTGTGGTGTCATCATAAAGCATTAAAAATACACATATGCAAGTTATTATCTAAGGTCGCCTATAAACTGTAGTCGCCTTCTGTGGTCTATAAAAATTCTTCTGGATCTTATCTTCCAAGATAGGATTTATATATTATTTTCAGTTTAAAATCACCAGTATTAAAACAAACTCCGAGAAAAATTACGAAAACACAATAAAAGGCCTAAATCCTCCGCGTTTAGGTTAGCCACTGCTTGTTGTTATGTCCACACAACGCCTATATAAATAAACCACCAGCTTTTTCCTAAACTTTATAATCTCGTTCTTGCGCAGTACTGTTTTACTACCAAGAAACGTTTCTGGATGACTCAGCGGGCTGTACGAGTTTCGTAAACGCTTCAACGGGGAAGTTAACAAATTGTTCGATATTATTTCTCGACTAAGCTTGGGTGTTACCGAGTCGTCCTGATCAACCACCATTCGTTTTCTATTGGTGTGACGTTGCCAGATAAGAAGAGAAGCAACATATATTACAAAAAACAAGAGGAGTGTTTTCTTGTCTAAATGTGCAAGCTTAATTGTAATACAACGACATTGAGTTTGTTTCTGTATACAGTTTAAGCAAGAGAAAATAACTTAAAACAAAGCCAAAATTGCAGATCATTTATAAATAAACAAATGAAACATTCTAAAAATGTGCCTAACCCAAATCACGTTAAGACGAATACATTCACAAAAATTTTCAAAACTAAATCTTAAACCTAAATCATTAATGAACCCTAAAAAAAGTCCGGCACGGTCAGGTGGTTAGTGCGCTCGACTAGCAATCTGAGAGTCGCGGGTTCGAATCCCCGTCCCACCAAACATGCTCGCCCTTTCAGCCGTGGGGGGCGTTATAATGTGACGGAAGTGGTTTTTTACATTTTGTATAACATCGTTAAAAAAATTAATGGGAAGTACTGAGAATTTATGTAATGTGTAGTGAGAAATTCTTTGTCTTTGCATGTCCTCAATGAGTAAATTAGTAAATTTATTGGCTGTCTATCTTTATAAGCTTCATTGTTTTTAGAACAAATCCCATTTCAGTTCGTGTAAATTTAAATCCAAGGTGGCAACGAACCTGTAAAAGTTGTATTTTCTCCATTTTGTCTCAGAATCTGCATACCCTCACAAATCATACTAGTACTATGCTAATTGCTGTATATTTTAATATTTAAGGATCAGAAAACAATTAACACAATGTAGAGAACTTTAAAATCTCAAAATATTATATATTATTTGGAGGGGGTTCTAGTAGACCCTCCCCTGAGTAGGTGTGTTCTGAAATTATTTTTTATAGCCGGGTTCAGTAAACTGAATAAAGGGTATTACTTAGTTAGAGTTTGAGAAAAACGTTGAAATACTCGCGTGTGTGTGTGTGAAGGGCTGGAAATTTAAAAATGTTGCCTGGAGTGTCAAGAGGAAGAAACTTTTTTTTAATGTAGACATCCTGAAATAGGTTAGATCATCGATTTTTTTTCTACACGTCAAGTCTAAATTTGGTTAAAAAAATCTGTTTCTGTATCGTTTGTAGTTTTGATGCATGATGTCATTTATGGAACCGAACATTTCAAATCCTTCACATGTGTGTTGTGCACTCGTTTTTTAGCATTTTGTATGATTTGAAACTGACACCGTGCTATATACTAATCCCTAATTCACGATTATATATATGTGTGTGTGTGTGTGTTTGTTTGTGTAATAAGCAATGTATGTACAGAACTGGTGGAGTTAAGAATGTCTGCAATTTGTGGCATAGATATCATTTTATGTTTGATTTACAGATGGGTGAAAAAAAAAACGTGTAGCTAGTTCAACACAAACCTACTTATAAATTTTGTGCGAGGTGACTTCATCTATGACATTTTAGCTGTTTTTAATAATTTTTTTCAATTATGGTTATAGTGTATGTATACTTATCCTAGGAGGCGTTCTGAAGATCTTAACTGAAACTTATGTGAAACTCACAATGTCGTTGGTTGCTTTCTCATTACCAGCATTGGTCGGCCAAGCTTGATTAAAAAAAACAAAACGTAAATTGGTTTTTATCTCCTACTTAAAATTACTATTCACAATCTTGTGAGTAGTACTAAACATTAGAAAGTCACTTTATACTTGCCTTACCAAGTATGGCAAATATAGTTTATGTATTTAGTATTTTAGCTGTGATTTCTACGCATGTGCACGGTAGATATTGTCTGTACAAGGTTCAGACGCAACTATGACGTCACAAGTGAAGCCTTTGTTATGTTGAAGGGGAATCCCCTTCGTTTTTTCATTTATGATATCCGGTAATATTTACAGAACATGAGCAGGTCACAATAGATTTGCATTGTAGTAGTAGATTTAGTTTTTGTCTTCCTACGTAATTGATTATGTAGTAGAAGTGGTAAACTGATTTTGATTGTAGGCAATGACTCTGGACTCTTAAGTACGGAGCAAACTACATCTTGGAATAATGTCACCAAACAGCTATGGGGAACTTATTAATAAAGCTAATTGACGCTCTTACAGACTTTCAATTTTTCAACGTTTTCAAATTAAAGTTTTGAAATTCTGAAAATTTGTCTAACAAGCCAAATTTAATATACAAGTCTGAGCCTGGTCCTGTCTATCAAGTCACAATTATGCAAGTTTGAACCTCAAGCCCTGTATAAAAAACCAGAGGTGTATAAGTCTGAGCTTCAAATCCAGTCTAATAAACAGCAAAAGTTATAAATTTGACCCTCTTGCCTCCAGTGGCACAGCAGTATGTCTGAGGACTTACAATGCTAGAATCTGGGTTTCGATACCTGTGGTGGGCAGAGCACAGATAGCCGATCGTGTAGCTTTGTGCTTAATTACAAACAAACAAACAAACTGACCCTCGTGCCTTGTTTATCAGGCCTGAGTTACATCAATCTGAGCTTCAGGTCTTTGTTTTAACATGTTGTTATCATATAGCATTAAGTCAAAGGTTTAATGTTGAAGATTTTATTATCATAATTTGTTTCATGATATGTTTTTTAATGAGAAAATTTTTCTTACTTGTGTGATTATACCATTTTTGTGGCTTTCTTCATATTGAACACAGAGCTAAAGGGTTTATCTGTTAGTTACCACTAGAAATGTACTTTTTAACCACTCAAATTACCACATTTGTACGATTAAACAGTTGGTTATATTACTTTCTTTCTGTTTTTTAAGGTACATAATTTATAGTGTAGTTCACAAATGTCTTCATATTGCAGTATGGCAGCTAGCTTGTTGATTTTGGTGCTCAATAAATTAGTATATTGCTTCACAGGATGCTATTGGAGAGACAACAATGCAACAAGAAATCCCTCAGGCATCACAAGCATCTGGATCTTGTTCTCCTGTCAAACAAAAGATGGAATATTCTCCTACTAAACAAGTAATGTCTGCAGAAAATAAAATTTCCCAGATGTTACTGGAAAATGAATGTTGTTCAGACATCAAGCAGAAGTTAAAAGTTTCTATAGCTGAATGTAGTAGGCTAAAAAATGTTATCAAAGAGGTGGGTATTATTCTTTTGTAAGCTTCAGGAAATTAATGAGATCTTATTTTAGAGGTATTTAACACTGACAACTATATATGATCAAACCAATATTTAATTATCTGTCCTAACAAAGACTAACTAATGCCATTTCCCCCCTTATATCTTAATAAACTAAAATTACCTGAGGCACCTTGTTATGCAACCCAGTGCTTCTATTGGTTTTATTTGTGAATACAAGTTTGAAGTATAGACGAATATTGATATGGGCATTTTTGTTATTTCTGATGCTGAAAATTGGTAGATGTTTGGAATGTTCACATTTTATGGATACAAGTTATTCTTAAACATGGAAATAAAATCTAAGTTCAACATTGCTTCATATCATTGTGTTTTCTTGCATGTTATTCTTTTGTTTTCTTCTTCAATTTATTTTTATGAAAATTAGTTGTATTATCCCTGCAAGGCATTACACTGTAGTTGCTTGATGAAAAATTAATAACAGTAAATGATATTTCTCTACTAAAATACAACCAAGTAAAAAATGGATAAATAATCATATACTAGAATATTTTTAGTAATTGGTTAATCAAGTATAAAGATAAATATAAAAAATTCTTCAAGTAAAAAAAAAAGAAATGCATAGTTCTGTGATGAATGGATGGGAAAAGTATAAGGATTTGTATAATTAACCAATTGGTCACCTTCTCCAAACTGACCTCCACCATAAGAATCTAACAAATATCTTATTTATTTTTTTATCAGATAACTGATGTAAATAAAAAATGGCAGAAATATAACCAGGAGAGACAGGTGTATCTCCAACAGCTTCTTGCCAGCTTCCAAGAACTACAAGAAAAGTCTAACTCTTTGAATCCAAAAGACCATCTGTTAAAGAAGTCTGTGACTGAACAAACTAACAGTCCTGTCGTTGCCACTTGTGGATCCTATAGACATAGTGATTCCTCCCTTCTATCTAAACAAGAACAGCATTTGACTTTAAAACAAAGTTATGAAAAGGTGGTTAGAGATAACTGTCGACTACAGAAGGAACAACAAGAAATGCATAAAAACTTTGAGGCTTTAGCCCATCAACTAGATCTTGTTAGAAATGAAAGAAAAGAACATCAAGAAGTGCTAGATATGCAGGTAAGTACTTGGAAATGTTTTTCTCAGTTTAATATAAATATAATGAAAAAGTGTACTATTGACGTAAAATAGTTTATTGTTACATGTACAAGTGTGAATAAGAAAAACTGTGTAATGGCAATAAACATGAAGATGTGCATATTGTATAATCTTAAGGTTATATATATTTTTTGGTGAAAATTTCAGCAGTAGACTAAATAGTTATATTGTTACTTCCATTTTATAAATTAACACTTCTTTTTGGATATTCTCTATATATCAGTGAAAATAAGCTACCATTAATAAAGTTAAATCCATTAAATAATTAACCTTTTCAGAGAATTTGTTTTCCATTTATGGCGATACTTTCTTTATTATTTTACCGTTTTATAATTAGCATATTGAGAAAAAATAAATATTATAAAATTTTTGGTTCCTGTTGTTGGCATGAACTTGTAAAACAGCCATAGGTGGCTACTACCTAAAGTAGGGCTAAGTCAAAATTGCCATAGCTGCTTTATGTGGTGGTCAAAAACTTTCTTAGTATGAGACAAATGTGGATGTACCACAATTGGATTGGAAGGTAATCCCTTATGATTGACTATGCTATAGAAAATTATTGTTTCTTGAATGAATTTCATTTTCTTCATTCAGTTTGTTTCTAGAGTTGACAGAAGAAGTTGCCCATTGGCTATTTCCATTGAATTTGGCTTGATGTAGTTTTTACCCATTCCAGATTAATGTTTATAGCGATTCACACTCTTTGGTTTTGTCTTGTAGTTTCAGTAATTTTATTTCTTATTCCACACATTAGAACTTTTGAAATGTGAGCTTCAATGTATTTGATTGTATTTATCTTGTTACACTTATCTGTTTCTTATCTTCTGTACTTATTCTTGCATAAGCATTCCATCCACTAAATCTTCTGCCTTCTTTTGTTGGGTGATTGAATCACATGCCAACTTAACACATAAAATCATCTTACAATACGCTAAAGTGAAATTTGAGCCCTGAGCCTTGACTTTTTCCTTATTTAAACATTATTGTAACTATGGCAGTAAATGATGTTGAAAAGCTAGAAATGAAAACTAATTGCAGTATTTTAAAATGGAAGTTTTTTGTGTATAATCATGTTGATTCTGTATTTAAGACGAACTTAAAGTTACTAGGCTGGCTGAACCTTGAGGTATTATTAGGTTTACAGCTGAAAGTATCATTAACAATGAAGAAACTCAACTAATGAAAGAATACATTCTAATCTTTATAAGTAGATGCATAAGAAAATTATATTTTATTAGCTTGGCTGATGGCCAGGTTAATTATTAGTTTTACTCTAGGAACATAACTTAATCTAATTGGAAGTTATTATTGCCATAAAGTAAAACCCTGTATTATCTATGATTTATTTATCTATTCTTGTAGGTAAGAGCTTACAGAGAAGATTGGGAAGCTGAAAAACGAGAAAAAGAAGAAGCAAAAATGAAAGTGACTCACCTAACAGAGGAATTAAATACTGCAGGTGCTAAGGTAAAAATCTTTCCAGTATAGTAAAAGATTTTCTTAATTTCTATACTGTTGCATATCTGCTTGTTTATTAATTTCTGGTAGAAAGTCTTTCTGAGAAATTTCAGCAATACAAGTCCTTTCTTGATTAAAACTAGTTTATTCTTTCTCAATACAAACTTTGTA